GTCCACCACTTGCCTCACCACTTGACCACTTGCCCACTTGCCTACCTTCTAGAAGGTCTACAGCTAAGCTTCCAGTTAATAAACGCGTGAGACAACATGGTCGCACCGAGCCACGTCACCCCCAACTTACCTGGCGCCAGCTGGCGCGCGCGCGTGTGGTCTTCGTCATCAACTTCGTCAATCTTCGTCGTCGTACTTCGATCAGGAGTACAGATCCGATACCAAATTGAAATGAACCCAAGTCGTGATGATACTTGTTGATCATGCAATCCACAAATCGTCAACCAGCTGATGAGATATCAATAGTGAAATCGTTACCAGATACAAGAGAGATGGATAATCATACACAGACGAATAAGCAAGAGGTTGGGAAGATAGACTTAGAGGGTGGAGAAGAATATTGCGCCCACTTCCTCTTCGGGCTTCCCTCACAATGTCGCCACCTCAGCATCAATGATTGGAACGATATCTGAAGTTCTCCTCAGAGTGCCACGTGGCACATCAATAGACCATCATCAGCGCTGGAGCATCATCAACCTCAAGATAAACAGGTATGTCTCTCTGCTCTTTCCACAGTCGTGATCACCTCCTGAGTACGATGAATCAGAACAACTGTATCTCTCCAATGTAGCCGCCACATCAGAATACACGTGGCAGCGGCCACGTCAGCAGCAACACGTGGCAGCTGCCACGTCGGCATACCAAGTAGACAAGAGCAAGCCAGCCAGCATGTATGGCAAGCAGCGCGCCGCCGTATCTCACAAGTGCCAGCCAGAAGCCAGTGTCCATCCAGCGTCTCAGCATAGAGCCAGCGTCGTCGTCAAAGTAGAAAGTCAGCATTGACGCGACTGAATGAATGTCAAATGCCGGAGAGTCAGTCCTTATGTACTATTGACTCGGGGTCTGGGCCCCGGATGCTGCCTCCCTCAGTCGTCCAGATCTCGATGCAGACGAGGGCTCAGATTATACCGAAACCGAATCTTCTTTGGCCTCGATGCTGTCTGGGTACCTGCACATCACACGTGAGTGTATCTGACCCAGGGCCTGTGCATGGTACCTTTGACTCTACAGTGGACTTTGACCTCCTGCAGTGTTCGGTCTCACAGGCGGACGCAGCAGTCTGGGCCTGGGCAGTGCCTAGTCACACAGCCCAACGCAGAACAGTAAGTTCTGCGTGGCCTGGGGCGGGTCTGGGCCCCGTACAGACTTTTCATGCACATGAATTACTGCAGTCCTGTCCAGATTTGACAGATAATTGAATTGGTTCGGCTTAAAGAATTAGCCATATGAAATAAATAAAAAGTGTGCCGACAAAAAAAAGATGGGAGAGAGTAGGAAAAAAAAAATAAAAATTGGCAGCACTTCATCACCCCCATGGGGTCAAAATGTGCGCCGAGAGCTGAAATAACTAAGTCCTAAACAAATATAGAGGTGCCGCAGAAATTTTTGAATTTTCAGAATAAATAAAAATAAAAATAAAATAAATCAGAAAAATGAGAAAGAAGTAGGGGGATAAGATAATGCAAACTTTTTTTAGAAAGAGAAATGTAAATCAAAGAAAAAGACAAGAAGAAAAAAAAACAGAAAAATTCGAAGTTGGAGTTGGGCGGGAAATGAAAAAGTGATGGAGAAAGAGAGAAATAGGCGAAAAAGAGAAAAAGATTGGAGTGGGAGGTGGGGGGATGATTGGGTTGTAGTTGGGGGAGGGAAGGGGGAGAGCAGGGTGGGAGAATGGGAGAGAAAGTGTTGAGAAAAGTGGGGATGAGAAGAAAAGATTAGTAGAAGATGGTGAGTGGTGAAACGGTATTCACCAGTTCGCAGTAGCTGATGCAGATCCCAGGGCTCGATCCCTAGTCCCCACCTTACCTATGTACAGTACCTGTGTCGACCCCTAGAGTTGAACCCGCGACCTGTGTATTTGTAACAGTTGCTAGGTTGTCGTAGGGTCCATAGGTAGCAAGGGTTCGATCTGTAGACCTGTTGGATAGGATTCTCAGTCAGGTCTAGAGGTCCTAGCTGTAGCTTTCTGGCAGAGTCAAGGTCGTAGCTGGTACAGTCCAGAAGGGTCAAAGTCGTAGCCGCTACAGTACCGAAAGGTCAAGTCTACGGCCTTCCGGAAGGTCTGAGTAGTGGCCTTTCGGAGTGTCCCACGTTTAGGCTGAGGCAAGTGGGCAAGTGGTGAGGCAAGTGGTGGAGTCTGCCCGTGCTGAGTCAGCAGTCCTAGTCCTGGGCAGTCCTGGTCCAGTCAAGCAAGTACTGCATGGGACTGTGTGCACTTCGGGCATGGGAAAGGGCCAGACCAACGCACTGCAGAAGTATAAATCAAGAGGCAGCGCCCAACCATTGATTCATTCCTGCGTGAGCCATGCGAAAGCGCTGCCACAACGACTTGTGCAAGGTGGTCTGCAGCAAGCCCGAAGACGAAGTGGGCAGAGAGACGAAGCTTAGCCATAGCGATAGGGTAGCGGTGGCCATAGCCGGCATAGCTGTAGTTGGGGTTCAGTGTGTGAGTGTGTGAGAGTAAGCAGCGTATCGCGTGTGGAATATCCAGGGTGATCCAGTGTATGCGAACAGAGACTTGTATGGGCGTTGTGACGCCATAGCCATTTGAAGTGAACTCGTATCTGAGTTGCGTTCTTGGTTGCCATATCTCTAAGTTCGGTGTGGGCGCATGTCGCCAGTTTGCTGCGCTACTGTTTGCATGCATGTAAAGTGTGAACAAAAGCAAGTCTGATTGCAGTGGGGAGGGGAGGGGGCAAAAAGATGGTGGGAGATGAGTGAAGAGAGATGTAAGAGAGGGAGGGGGGGGAGTAGTGGTAGAGGTAGAAGGGGTAATGAGATGGTGTAAGGGAGAGAGAGAGGGGGGCGTGGGAGAGTAGGTTAGTGGAGAGAGATGATACTAGGCTTTGGTTGGCCAAGAGCAACAAGGTCACCAACATCCACTGGATCTTGGCCTTCAAGGTGCTGGCAGCCGGCTGCTGCAGCAGAAAAAATAATAATAATAATGAAATAATCAAGGGTTGGCTGAGATCTTGATCAGCCACCTTGATTGCACTGACGCACAGCCCCCTAGCCAGGGGGGTCTTAGCTGCTGCAAAACTGCAGGTGCAGCAGTACAAAAAATAATAACCAAAATCATTATCATCATCATCATTTGGGTGGTGCTGAGATCTTGATCAGCCACCCAGATTGGCCTGTAGTGCAGCCCCCTAGCCAGGGGGTCTTCAAGCTCCTCAACAAGCTGCCACGTGCACAGGCAGCAGCAGCCACG